GAGGAACAAGAATGGCGTAAAATTTCGTTGGTTACGCCGCCTTTACCAAGTTCTTTTATTTCTGAAAAAACCATAAAAAACGCTGCGACTTCGGTACCGAAAAATGATAAAAAACGTAAGCGTACCGAAGTTGAAGCTGAGGTAATAAAAAATGTTAGTCGTGTGAAACAGAAAAAACGAAAGCAAGCCTCCCAGAAAAGCAAAAAAGGAAAAAATGCCGTATTACATAGTAAAACAAAAGAGGCGGATAAAGATAACGTCGATGAAGAAGTAAATATCGACAGTGATCCTGGCAACATGAATAACTGGAATTGGAAAGAGGCAAAATATCCAGGTGAAATAGTTCTTGGAGATGAAGATTTGGAAGGAATTTTATGTTTGGAGGAGTGCGATGATATTGATGTTGTATATGAGGATGGAAATGACAAGCTCGGAAGAGTTGTAAAATTCAAAGTATTGTTAAGCGATATTTATTTGATGTCTTTATAAGCAAAGATAATTGAGTATTGACTGTTTATTGTGAAATTTTGTTGTATAGAAAGCAGAAAGGAGATCAGCGACTAATAAAAACGAATCTAAATCTCATGCAGCAAATCCCGAAGAACCTTTGTCGATTGATGAAACACGAAATTATTATGATTTGGATACATTTGATGAGCGATTAATATCATCTTTTAACAATGACGAAGATTATGATATATCTAATTATAATGAGAAAAGTGTTGATGAAGCTATGGATATCAATGATAATCATGATGAGAATGAAAGTAGCGATAGTTGGGAGACTATTGATACTTTTGACGGAATAGATGATGAGAGTGAAGGAATTGAAAGGGAAAGTCAGCTTAGTGCAAGTCATATTGGGAAAACCAAGGATAAGTCTAAGAAAAATAGAGATTCGGAATCTTTTATAGTAAATAATGACGATGATTCAATAGGAAAATTAAAAAATAATTGTCTTTCTATCCTCAAACAAAACAAAAAGGATGCTCTTGTAAAAGATGTTAATCTCGGTATATACAATGATAACTGTTCATTGATTCCTTCAATCTTCTATTTTAACGACCATTATGTATTGAATATTACATAATACTGAATAGATTTTGATGTGTCAGCATGGATTGGTTATGGATTCTGCTCAAACATCTTACTTGCCCTAAAATCACTTCAGTTCTCCGAGCCCACGCCCATTCAAAAGAAAACTCTGGCCCATGGATTATCCGGACGTGATATAATTGGCGCGGCGGAAACCGGATCAGGGAAAACGCTTGCGTTTGGACTTCCCATTTTACAATATTTAATGGACGAGGAAAATAATTACTTAGGAGAAAATGGTGATGATAAACGCACAAACGAACTTGTAGCATTAATTGTTACGCCGACTAGAGAATTAGCGATACAAGTCAAAGATCATATATTGAGCATTGGGAAGTTTGGTGGCGTAAAGGTCGGCGAATCAATTATCTAATTTTTGAATACATGAAAAATATTAAACTAGTGTGTCTAAATTTTTATAATAGGTCGTGACACTTGTCGGCGGTATGGCAGTACAAAAGCAGCGGCGACTAATGGATAGACATCCAAATATAATTATTGCTACTCCTGGTCGATTATGGGAAATGGTTTCAGAGGTTCGTTAGTATAATTAATTATTGTTTATATTTCGTAATTTCAACAAATAATTTGCCTTTTTTGCACTTAAACCTTGATCTATTTATTTTGATTAATAATTGTCCAGAACGATGAATATCTCGAAAAAATTCGTCGCATAAAATTCTTTGTACTCGATGAGGCAGATCGTATGCTAGAGTCTGGCCATTTCCAAGAATTGAACCAAATACTTAATTTTATAACGAAAAGTCGACAGTGAGTTTCATATTTCAGAAATTTTATTACTTCGTAGGATGTGAATTAAGATATTTGAATACATTCTCATTCTTAGGGATGCCGATGATTGGTCAGACAACGAAAGTAAAGAACTCACTGACATCAATAAAAAAATAAATAATAAAGAAAAAAGTATCTTTTCGCATAAATACTTTACATTTAATTGTTTTTTATATGATAAAATTAAACCATATAAATGATAAATAATGATAGATCCTTCAAAAAGACAGACATTTGTATTCTCTGCCACACTCGACAAGAATCTAAAAGAAGACTTGAAGAAAAAGAAATATTTCAAAAACACTTTAAAAAAACTCGATGTTAGTAATACGCGTGCTACGATGAGTGAGTATAGTGTCTTTCGTGAGTCATAAATAAGTTACACTTATACGTAATATTAATTTTTTTCTAGAAGAGTTAATGGAACGGCTCAAATTTACCGATCCTGATCCGATATTCATCGATCTTACGCCAGAATACGTGGTAGCTAGTACATTACAAGAATCAAAGATTGATTGCCTAACTACAGAAAAGGTTTTATAATGAATTCATTTGCATCTCATCAATAAATATATTATTCTCATCATTATTAAATATATTAAATTAGGATGTTTACATCTACTATTTTATAACACGATACCCGGGCAGAACGCTAATATTCGTCAATAGTATCAATACGATTCGAGGATTAGTACCCATTATGAGATTATTGGGAATCGAGGTACTGGGACTGCACGCCCAGATGCAACAAAGACAACGATTGAAGAATTTAGATAGGTAATTTCTTTGATTAAACCTTTCGCCTTAAATAATAATAGCAACAATAAGTCAAAAAACAATAGATTCAAACAAAATCCGAAAGCTGTCATGATTGCCAGTGATGTCGCTGCTCGTGGTCTCGATATCCCATTGGTGGAACACGTCATTCATTATCAGTTGCCGCGTTCTGGTGACGTGAGTATCCATGAATCATTTTATTAGATGCTCATTTATATATAATTTTTCATAAAAATATATAGATATATGTACATCGAAGTGGTCGAACAGCAAGAGTTCGACGAGAAGGAATAAGTTTGATGTTGTGTAGCCCTGAAGAAATTGTATTGTATCGTAAAATTTGTCAAAAGCTTAGGAAAGGTAATTTAATCTTTCTCATCGTGTACCTACTTATACCTTTTACTAAATATTTTTGTTTCATTTGACGCGTTCAGATAGAAGTCTGCCTGATTTTCCGGTCGACCAAAGTATCGTGAAAGCTATGAAACAAAGAATATCTTTAGCGCGAAAAATTGATCAGGAGGAACATAAGCTGCAAAAGGTATGTTATTTATTTATTATCGGTGATTTGATATCTTTGTCACTAAATTATTTATTTTACTCTAATTTATTAGAGTAATTATGATGATGACTGGTTAAAAAAAGCAGCACGGGATTTAGATGTAGATGTTGAGGAAGATCTGTAAGATTGATATGTTTGCTTTTCTCGTTATTTTTTTTAAAATAACCTTAAGTATTAATCACTCTTACTGTTAGTCTAAATAATAAACGGGGCAATGATAAAAACGATGATGATGGTAGCAACATCAACACCAAAAACGTAAAGGCAAAAATAAAATCAATGAAAGCACAACTTAAATCGCTGCTTGCCGAGACGTTGATTCCCCGTGGTATTTCGAAAAAGTACTTGACGGGTGGTGTTATGCCTGATTTAGCGGATCGGTTGCTTCTGGACGGTGATTCTTGTATGTTTTTTGTTTTATTAATTCTTTGTTGTTGTTCCCAATTAATTTTTATCGTTGATATTAGTGAATCCTTCGTTGCTTGGAGTTAAGCAAACAAAGGCAACAGAGGACTTGAAATTAAAAAAGACTAAAAAAAAAGGAATTAATTCTGGCACCGGTGGTAATAATAATTATTTTAAAAATATTACTAGTAATAATAGTAATAATGGAAACTACAAAAATCGAAAAAATAAAAATTAATCTGTTATTTTTCAGAATTTTTTGCTGTTAAATGGTAAACAATCCATAATGAAAACTTAGATTTTAAAAAACCTAGCCAGTGCAAGTAATATTTATTTGTATTAATCATATAAGTAATTCATAAGATATTTAAATATATTTAAATAAATTAAATTTCAAATATAAGACATCAAGTCTTAATAAGCTATAAAAACAATTATAATTTATTCTTTTATAACTTGTCATGATAATCTTAATTCAAATATATTTATATTTTTCTTTAATAATTTATTTATTAACTTAGTTATAGTCAAATCTCTTTATAGTTATCATACTTGAAAAAGCAAATTAAAAAGAGATATGACTAGAGATTTTTTAATTAGTAATTAAAAAACTCAAAAAAAATAATAAAAAAAATATGTAATTATAAAGAGATCTGATTGTATTTTATTTAATAATTATTTAAAAGTAAAAAAATATATAAAATAAAAATATTTTGAATTTATATATAAAATAATTTTTAGTTTAAATTATATTTAAAAATATAAATTATATAATATAATAATTTTTAATATAATAAAAATCATTTAATATTATTTAAAAAATCTATTATAAAATTATATATTAATTCTAAAATCAGAATTAAGTTAATTTTAATAATTTTTTATAAAGATTTAGATTTATATATATATTATATTATATATAAATTTAATAAATAATGTATAGATCAGTGCAAAAAGATTGGTACACCAATATAAAAATCAATAATTACTTCTAATAAAAGTCATTCAAATTTTAACCAATATTTATAATTTTTTTATATTAAGTAAAGAATAATCTAAATTAACTTTTTATACTATTTTAATTATCCTATTATACTTTAATTTAATAATAAATAAAGCATTACTTTAC